CCAACCGTTTCTAGGCTCCAAATTAGTGAAGATCAGTGAAATTTTCAATGTTTTATAAGTCTTTACCCACCAACAAAACAGACGTAGATTATTTGGAAAATTCGTGTAATGAAAAATGTTAACGAGCTTTTTTCAATCTTCGTATTTATTCTAACTGTGGAAATGGTAAAGAGGCGTTTATCTGTGAAAAGCAATGTTTTCTGCGGTTATATAAAGAGTATTACCACAGTTATACGAAACAGAGGATTAAACAAGGAGCTCAACAAAAGATCTGTGTTGACATCGCCTTCTATTTGTAATTTATCTCTCATTTTAATATTGAAAATCAATCTTGGCCCTTATAGCAGTGTTATCTTGAAATTAAAGCGAAAGTTCTTCTTCATTAACGCAACAGAGTTTAAATAAAAAAACGCTTCAGTTCGCAGGTCTTAACGGCTTTAATACCCTATTATATATCCCCTACTACATCGGAATGGATAACGCATTTCATTTTACACATCAACATTACAGCAACTTTTTGGAAATATCACAATCTACATCTTCAGCATTTGAAAAAATAATAGAGGCTATGGTAGATAAAAAGAAAAAATCTCGAATGAGCTCCTTTAAAATACACACCTAAGTCTATTATAATTTTTTCAAATGTCGCAATATAAGGAAGACATCACTGTAAATTTTAATCGAAATTGACCGAAGCTGAGAATGATGTATGTGTCGAAACACGTTTAAAATGATTCGGCAACAATTTGAAATAAGCATCGTCAAAAATTGAAATAAAAAAAAAAGAAAAAAAAAATTTTTAGTAAAGGTTTTATATCTCATCCCATCCCATCAGACTGCATACACAGTGGTATCTTTAAAGCTCAGGGGCTGATATTAAACTTTTACCGGATTTTTTCCAATGCCTGTCTGAAAAATTAGCGTCGACAAAATAGTGGAAATTTTTTGGAGAGGTGTTTTAACCTCTAATTTTCAATGCTTATAATAAGCGTTCTAAATAAATAAGAGATGACGATAAAATCAACACAAGTGCAATTTCAAGTATGAGTGCAATTTAAGAGAATGTAAAAGACAAGTCCAACTTGGATTCATCTAATTTTGCAATTATATTAAATACAAAAGTATTATTATTTATTTTCTGAGCAGTCAAAATGATGATAGAAAATGTTGATAAATACGTATACAAGATAAAATAAATTTACAAATATAGCACTGGAGAAAAAAGCGTCAATTGGGTATTTAGGCGATTGATCATCGTTCAAGTGCGAAATGACTCGAGCCAAAAGCGCCTCGTCTCGTTGAAAGTATTCACACACTTGAATATATAGTTGAGGTTTTTTTCGTATTCGTTAACCTGGCGCCATTGAAACTTAGGTGCATATTTTTTCAAGTATATAATCAATTTTCAAGTATCAAGATTCAAGTATATAATCCATAGTGAATAGAATTAGCAAGAAACAAATGAACAAGTTCATGGAAAAATTGATTCAACTAAAGAAGTTTGTTGTGAATTTCAATTGAGAACGTATGTGTTGAGTCGACACATTTTCCTTCTCAGCGTTGAATGGATCTCTCCTTAGTAATCGAAAAGAATATGGTATAATCCGGGTAAATATTATTCTTTTGGTTAGAAATTACGATGGTCCTCGAGGGTCCAAGAGGGCATGATCCTGAACTAGTAGCCGGAAGAAGTGGCCTAAGATCGGAATATCCCATAATACGAAAAACTTCCTACCGCAACAATGAACATGAAACGGTCTTAAAAAATCGTAGATCCTTTCAAGATTTATCCCCATTGGTTTTTCACACCTTCCTTTTTGAGGCCTCGTGGCATCCAACCGTCCACGGTGACAGTGGGCCTCCACAACAAATACCTGGGGTCCAAACGATAATCTCACTAAGACCCGGTCCATTACAAAAAAGACGAGATCCATTATGATTCCACGGTATTGTTGAGGTGTCGAATCTGTCTACAAATAACCACTAGAGAAATTGTTACTCAGTGACACTGTTACTAGTCTCTCGCTCTTATACCTTCTCTCTTCATTCCAATATATCCTTAAAGTTCTCACCTACGGCAATTGGAATTGTGCCTTTGTCGTAGTCTCGTCTCACTCCTCTTTTTCAGTCTGTCCCATTCAGAGTGGACTACATTATTTTGTTATAAGGTTCTCTAACCACACCGCATTATCCTAAACATCTAAATCCGGACAGCTGGGATCCTCATGGGGGTTCTCAACCCCTTGACTTGAAATATTCCAATCGAATTGATTAAAGATACTCAAATCCATACTCACTTATTTTTCACAAACATCTATCTTCGTATTCTTGACTGTCCTGTAGAGCTCGCAGAATCGTATCTACCCTCAAGGAGAACATATACATGCGAATAATTGACATATACGTGACTTACAGCATTTCTGGCTCTATGCGAGCTATCTTGCATATATGATAGATATATACCAAATATGTACGTATTCTAATGTACGGCATTGTGTTCCGAAATATACATGTACTCTGTAATTCATATATATTTCGCCTATAAATCGCTTTCCGTAATGGTGACTTATAATTAAGCTCAACTTTCAAAAAGTTCCGCATTTATATTAATGTTTTCTGTATTCTCTCTTATTGTTTCCGAATGGAAGCATTGCAATCATTCGAGTTTACAATTCCCTAATTTTACGTGGAAATTATGTGGAACAGTCTGAAACGTAAAAATACGAAGTTTGAAAGTCATGTGTGTGTACGCGAATGGTCAATTGAGGGTCAACTTTTGAAAAATGGGAAAAATAGACGGATGAATTGATTCCGAACATCTGAAATTACACCAGTTTATAGGTCTTAATATATACTTGATCTGTCCTAAATTTCAACCCGATCGGTCGAGTAGTTTTCGAAATATCGCTAATTGTTTCTGAAATTTTTTTGCAAATATCTCAGAGCAATCCAACCAATTTCTTTTTTTTTATATTTGTTTCAATATGCTCCATGTAGATCAGTCAGAATATACGTGTGCTTCCCCAAATTTTTCGAGATATTTCAATTTTTATATTTTTCAAAAAAATTAATTGTACGCGCTCTCTGATTTTTGAATCAGCCTATCAACTTGTTTCATTTAATATTTAATCTTTTCACGTTCTAATTTTGAGTATTCACTTCGTATCTTTAAGACACATTCATTCGCTCGAAAAGAAAGAAAAGTCTTTTCAACTTACAAATTTTCAACGCATTTTTATTACTTCTTCACAAGAAGCGTATGTTCGAAGGAAACAATGGTCTCCGCTAATTGTAATGTAAATAATCTTAAACAGAAATCAAACAATTTTTTTTCAAATTACAATATATATAAAAATTATAAAATATTCTTAATGAAAACTTTTTGGATTAAAAAAAATGTTATATATGCATATAAAATTGCAAAAAAACAAGGAACATAAAATAAATATATGAATTGGAAAAATTTTCAATCAATTTTTTTATATAAAAATAAAAATTTATAAAGTAAATTGATTCTATGAGTTACCCTATCTATAAAAGGTGATACACCAAAATTAAGTTGAGTAGACAAGAGTAAGATTTCGGATAAATTCATGCATAAGACTTTTCACGCGTAACCCTACTTCTCATGTGCCATTCCGAATAAAATTCATTTCTTATTAGTCAATTGATGATGCCATTATCATCACAACGCGGTGGGCGCGTCCGGTCCCGTGTACTTTTATGATAGTATAAAAGAGCATACTTTTGTGATGGAGTACATTTTTTTCGATATTCGCCGATATGATGACTATAGGCGCGGAAAGGGCGTTTCAAATGCTAGTGATTGAAAAAGTTAATTAGGAATAATTGTTCCTTAAAATATTTAATTGTTCCTATGACACTGTAGTTCTTTCCTATGGGTAGTTGAATGCAAATATTCACGAGACTTCCTTGAAGAGGAAAAAATGATCAATTGAAATAGCTCACCCGAAATTGAGAACCACTTTCTAATGAATGTGTCAGAGGTGTCGGAGCAGCAACTGTCAAAACACGCCCAAGCGAAAAGCGTGACGCTGTGTCATTCTAGTAGTCAGAACAAGCCACAGGGTAGGACGAATGGAAGAGGGAGGGGGAATCGGTTTCAACGAAAATTGTAAGAGAGGGGACAATTTTCGAATGGGAGCATATGTATCGGTTTAGTACCCTGTGGAATTCGTTCGACCGTTTTCGATAGACCAATCATTATCTCACAATCTTCAAATATTTTTCGTCTACAAAACAAGCAGTGGTCCTCTCCCCTTTTTACGATCAGGGGCTGTCCTTTGGCACAAGGTGATTACGTCATCATTCGAAATGAAAAAAATTAATGAAATGAAACAATTTTCAGACACTTTACTTGAAACATTAATTTTAAAAGAATGTAAATTGTCCATGCATAACCTCAACGACCGTGTGAATAATTTTTATATTAATTAAACTCGGTGAATAAAAAGAAGACATAAATCCCCCCCTCCCAAACAGACAACAGGGAAACAACAAAAATGATAAAACTTGAGGGGTTTTTGTTGATTGGAAGGGAGTAACCTAGGACTGAATAAAGCATAATAATAATGAGATAGTTTATGATTCTAGGGAGCTCTTAAAAGCATGCGCTGGGCTTTTTACGAAGGGAGCTTAACCTATAGGGATCAGTTACGGAAGTGAGACGAAAGCCCATTGGTTAAATTTGTCAGCGATCTCACGCCCACACGACCGGCATTATCATCCAACCAGAAAGCCCCATCTTATCTCCCCTTCTCGACTATCACCACAAATTAGAGAAAAAGAGGAGAAAAATAAGCAATCACATTGGTAGATTCATAATAATCTGTTAATATATTTTCGCGTGAATTTATTTACAGGCGCAAATAATAATAAGTTTTAATAATATTAATAATGAATATTAATAGGGTTCTTTTGTTCATATATATATATATAATATGTATATTTTTTTTATATAATTAATTTGTTTACGTCGATCACCTAGAAATATTTACGTGCTAGTATGTTCAGTATGTATAAGGATTCGATTATTATACCTATACAAGTATTTTCATCGCTCCACCATCGACATAATGAGTTTCTTGATCTTTTTGGAATTTTTATTTCCTCTTGATGTCGAACAGATGAATGAAAATGCCCTCAAGGCATAGTCCTTCGTAAGGTGTGAAATTTCCAGCAATCGTTTCCTAATTCTGTCGCTCCATCTTTTATGGAAATCATATTTTTACTCGATTTATCTGTTAGTAACTCCTTTACGCCTCTTGTCACGCACCTCTTCGTTTACTTCCAGAGTAATATTGTTTGCTCGCCAATCCGTAATTCGATAATTGTATTTTTCAAGCTGCGCTAGACCTACTTAATCTAATGACGGAGTTGTTCAGGGCAAATGGGCAACAAGGCAGGGTTGGGTGACGGAAAATAAAGATTTCGATGATACTGGCATTGGATTAATTACAATATTCAATAACGAAAAGACCTCTCGAGTCCTGGAGACTAGGAGAAGAATTGTAATACAATTTAATTTATACTTTACATGAACGACTATATTCTTTCGTTGTCGTTTTCTAGCCTGTCCAGACTGTAAGAATATTATATTTATTTTTTAGTTCTTGGAAAAATCTAGTAATAGTTGAACGCAATGGCCTTTCAGAAGTTTTTGATTTACATCAAAAATTAAAAGCCTTGACTTTTTGCATTTTTTGCAAGAGTTTTAGTGAAAATTCTCACAAATCTATTACGTTATACAGAATTATTAATATTTAGACATTCATAAATATTCATCCATGTCACATTTCAGAACAGTCTGGACTTGACATGAAATTCTTATAAAACAAATAAACAAAATAAAACATTGCCACTAAGGGATCACCGCGAATCAGTCTCGTATCTCTCGCGGATTATCGAATGGAAGTCAATAGAAAAATGGGATTGGGCTCTCTCAGCATTTATCAGTTTACACTATTTATCTCGGCATAGCATTAAATTTTGTCATTAATTTTACATTTTCCTCAAACTGATGAAAACTCGTTACACCCCTCGAATGTATTTCATATTTACAATTCGTTCAAATTAACCTGCAATTTGCTATATGACAATACTAACCCATTAATGGGTATCTCGACAGGGATTATTGATGAGGAAAATTCATTGAGTTGATTTCTAGTACTTCCCGTATGATTATCCGCTTTCTCATTTCTTTCATTAGATATCAATGAATATTTACAATTGAAACAAATAAAAACAGATGGTTCGTCATCCCGATTCACGTTGGATATTTACACAATTAGACATGATGGTTACCATGATGATTTAGTAAATCACGATAATTTATCACTGAATGATCAGGCTGCCAATGATTCTATCACGCTGGTGAAAATGGCCTGTGAATCTGTGGGGGTTTGGGATTTATCGGTGGTGTTGCCACTCTGATCAAACCCTGGCCGGGTTTTTGTTGGATATGATGGGAAGTTTGATTCGGCGGACTACCTCGGGATGACGGGGTGTGGGGACTTGGTACTGCCACTCTCAAAGGTCCTGTCACTGAGAGGTTTGTGGCAACCAGAGGTGGACTGTGAGCCTCGCTGAGGCTATCTGAGAGCCGCGAGATACCGCCGTCTGACAGTCTTGACGCATCTGACAACCTTGATATACCTTCTGGTAGTTGATGCTGCGGGTGCGGGTGGTGGAGAATTGTCTCATGGTGGTGCAATCTGGAATGATGGAGACCTAACGGCTCAGGTAATCTGCAAAATTACAACATTATTTATTACGTTTATTTATTTCTTACATATTGTATTGTATTGTATTTGCATTTTTTATCTTGGCATTTGCATGTAATCATAAAAAAACATAGGACTACCTTGGTCATTTGAACAAGCCACTGACCACTCCTCCATTGAAAGCCATACATGAGCAAATTTCATTTTTTTTTTTCATTTTCAACCTCTCGAGTCTCAAAAAACCTATTCACTATCCTACTCCTAAGTACAAACTATTATTGCACTTGGTACTTGTACATTTTTCTGACCCAAGTCATCCAGAGATTTACGGATTTCAGGATCCATTTTTCCCAGATTTCATAGTTATAAGTTTCAATGAATGAAATTGAAAAATTATTATTAAGCAGATTTCATTCCAAATTAATTTCACAATTCTGAATATATTTTTATTTAATTTCATAAATAATGAAGTATAATTAGAAAACCGAAAGTTTAATCTTTCGTATTTTCGAACCCTAAATACAGATGGACTTAAAACTTGAAACTTTCTCAAGTCCAAAGTCCTCTCGGAATTTAACAAAACTTAAAACCTACATTTCTCCGAGACTTAAAATTTGAAAAAATTTTTTGTATTTTTGAAAAAAATAGAAGGACTAAGTTTTTTAAGACTTTCGATTTATTTTTGAAAAAATAAAAGTTGGCGTGGAACTAATACTTTTTTGTACATCCTCAACGAATTTCACGTTTAATATGGATAAAGAGTGGATAGAGCATAAATGATAAAAAGTGAATATGATGACAGGTTGTATGGTGGTATTAGTATTAATACCAGAATTTTTCCGGTACTGCACAATTGAACTGGCGTTACCAGACGGCATGGTTATTTTCGCTATTTTCGATTTCTATCATTCGATAAAAATTGAGAAATTTCTCTGCCTGTCATGTAAATGTGATAAACAGTAGCGGTCATTATTATAAAATGACTTCTCTTGGAAAACATGAAAAGGCAATTGCAGTGGCGTTTCTGGTGGAAAATCATGATGATTAATTGGGGAAAAAAAACACGAATTTTATACACACCTCGATCCCAAATCGTCTCTTGGGCCGACTGCCTGAAACGGACTGGTATCCGTCAGTCTGAACATTCCTCCCGTGCTGGGAATGGTCGGATGAGTATGCTGAGGACTGTGTGGCCCAAAGCGAAAACCCGTCGCTGGAAACTTGAAGGCGGTTGCGTGAGTAAAACGAAATGCATGAGTATGGCCGGCGTCAAATCGAAAATTAATCGATGGGGGTGGTAGTGGCCCGACGGGTCCAAGAGAGATTGGTGACGGTTGATGATGAGATGGTGGTGGTGGTGATGATGGCGATGCGGGTGATGTGCCGCCGAGAGATATGTCAGAATCCTCTGTGTCGCTTCCACCTGGGCTGGGGCTGAGCGCACGACGAGAACCACCATTTCCTTGACCCGATTGCTGTTGTATTCTGCTTTCAACAACAAAAAACAAAAAACCAACATTCATTATTAGTCAATGACAAAACATCAAATTTCTGTAATAAAATAGGTGGATAATGAACAGCTATATAGCTATATATAAATAGATGAAGTAGGGAAACCCGAAGGATAATGCAACAATCAACTAATCCATCTATTCATGGTCAATGATAGACGATAATAACACGACTAGAGAGAGGAAATGACTCTTTCAGTGGAGCACATGGAGGTGTTAAACGTTGCTACATCCGCATCATGTTTATAACGTGCTAATAATAATCTCTAACACAACTCGTTGACTCAGCCAGTCATTAACCAACGGCCTTTATTCAGATAATTAATGCGTGGATGAAAAGGATTCATTCTCCAACGAGCGTCACATCCAGACGTAGTCATTAATTCTGAATTCTTATTTATTCACCATAACAAAATACAATAATATTCTTATTGTCAACTGAAAGCTGCTTGGAAAATTTGAAAGACTATTAGAAATATATTTACGACAAACGAGTGATTTGAGTGGATAAAAACAATACGAGGAATTCGAGATGTACAGCACTGAGGTTGTGCTCCCTCTACTTTTGACGTCGGCGACGCTGAATCGATCCTACAGTTTTCCCGGTGCACGTCGGGCCAACCAAAGAATCAGGGAGACATTCTCCGACAAAAGGGGGAAAAAATATAGAAGGAAAGTCCGTGTGTTTTCGTTACTAATCGGACTTCAACTCCCTCTTGTTACATCTCGAAACAACTCAACAGCCGTATTTTATCGCTCTTTACGTCTACTCGATGCTTTCCAATGTATTTTAGGAGAGCTTTTGGGAGTTTTCCAAGTGATTAGTTTGAACGTGATTTAAAGTGTGGATAGCTTTTGAAAGGATGGATATGTCGACCACCCAAGCTTCGTATACACGGTCACAGAAATTCTGTAAAAATAACCTATCCCGAAAAATGACCGTACTACTCGCTAAAATTTGTCAACTGTCTAGTAACAATTCTCTACAGCCGTTCGAGAAAATTACCAAATTACTCAACTTTTAGGTATCTTGGTCATTTTATCAAGCAGTCAACAAATTTTTATTATCAAATTAAAAATTACGTAGAAGTTAGGTACATTTTCTCAAAAGTTTATATAACTTTTACCAAGCAGTTGACAAATTTTACTAAGCGATACGCTAAACGGATAGGTAATTATTACTGACTTTTTCTCTTCGTGTGATAAAATGAGGATAAATCATAATCACAGAAGTAATCATATAGTAATCATACTCCTGAATAAGCGGGCACTTGTTGAACAAATATGGAAAATTGTTAACTATATATCTAATGAACCTGTGTAAATACTACAGTATATTTTCCGGAGAAGAAATCGAGAGATAGGTACATAATAAATGTACAATGTTTAACACGTATAAATATGAATGTAGTGTCAAGAGTTTCATTTAAATTCGACTGTAATTTTCTTTTTTATTGAATAGTGAGTGATAGTGTGGGGCATTAGGCTCTCTGATTTCAATCTATTTCAGTTATATCGGAATAATTTGGTTTTGATTCCTCAATCTGCAATTAATCATGTTCATCGACCATTAAAAATTGGCAAGAAGGGTGTATCAAATCGCTAGAAGGCACTTACGGGGATGTCGGGGCCTCTGATACAGGTGCCAGGAGAGGCCAAATGCATCGGTGAAGAGAGGAAGACTCAGGAGGAATTCGGTGGCTTGTTGTATTATATGTCTGACGCCGATGCTCCTCGAGCTTCCACTCATCCCTCTCCACATGCATTTACACGCAATGACGAGACAATTTTTGGAGAATTATCCCCAGCACGATGCCAATTATGAGAATGGATAATGGGACACCGGTGGCAAATGGTCAAGACGTACTTATAAATTCAGCCCAAAGAAAAACAAAATTAATTTTCACTCTAAAAATTTTAAAAGTCCCCTCAAATTCATTCTCAATTGATTTTTGTCTACGAAAAACAGGAGAGAAAATTTGGGGAAATGTGAATTTCTGAAATTTTCCAACAATGTACGATTAAGCGTATACAGACGCACAAAAAACCTGCATTGGAAAGGAAAAAGTAAAACAATGGAAAATATAGAGGGCTATAGGGGGCTATAGGGGGCTATAGGGGGGCAAAAGGGATATATATCTGATGAGGCCGGGAACCCCTTGTGAAGGCTATCATTTTAACAGAATCTGGGGGTCATGTGACAGTACATACTCTCACATTTTTCCCTCTTTAGCCATGACATGACAGAGACATGACCGAGAGAATATTTTCCATCTCTCGTGCCATGCTAAATAGCGAGTCCCGCGGACAATAGATGGATATATATATATTGAAGCCGGAGAATCTGAGGCTGAGGCTGTGAGTTGGACGACGACAAAAGGTAACTGGATACCAGCGTGCATCATGTGAACGGTCGAGGCGCGATTCGAAACGGTACACGCTCTTCCTCCCCTCTAACCCCTCGATCTCTTGTATCACCCCCTAAATCCCCTTCGGGACATTTTTTCATCTTGCTAGCTCGTTTTTAATAGCCGCTAATAGAGACGTTAAAACGATACGACCCCCCTACCCCAGCCACTCTGACGGCCTGATCTTTCATTCTGCCGTTTTATCCTTTTCATCCACAATGTCGGATTGTATTGGTGCACTAGATGCTCATTCTTCATTCCTTTCATTCACTTCAACAATAAAACGCGTATTTTACACCGCCTCATTACCCCATATAATTCATGAATTTTAGAACAAAGTCATTTTTCATTGAGATATTCATTATTATTTTGGGCTTTTTGCTTTTGTTTAGGTTGTAGGTTTTTGCGAGGTGCATTAGGATGAAACAAAGGATGTCTGAAGTGCAGCGGGAGCATGAAGGAATATGCGTGCGTGAAACGCCGACAGCCTGCAGGTAGCCCATGATTTGCAATATTTTATCGTACTGAGACCAACTCCACTCTCCCTTCATCTTTCCTTTTTGCCAAGATGCCTATGCCATGGCGCCGATCATATTCCAGATCAGGGGGATATCTTTCACTCTCCCCACAATTTTTCATCTGCATTTCCGCATTTTTCATTAATTCTTTGACAATTTTATCAATATTTCAAGTTTTTCTGTACTTTTTCATACATTTATAAATTGAGAATTGAAATGTGAGATTGAATGTCGGGCTTGTATAAACAGTTTGGTGAGTGTGTTTTGTATAAGTTTATAAGGTGATGGCCTTCGTATTCTTCGGGAGGAGATAGTCCACTCATCTGAGGGGCGATGGAAGCTCTCAGCTTTTAGCTATATAGCTTTACTTCTCTCTAGTGTCCTTTGTCCTAATGCTGCTTGACGTACATTTGGCAAGACATTTGTTTTAAAGGGAAAGTATCAATTTTTTTTCACAAAATTATTTTCATGTGCATCTACAAATAAAAATCTAGCGGTATATGTTGTAGAATATTATTTAGTTTTTACCATCGGCTAAGTTACGAGTTTAAGAATGTAATTTCTTCATTGACCAATTAGTTTATTTCTGGAATATTCTAGTACGTCTCATTTTTCAGATCGATATGAGACGGAAAAACCTTGAAAATGTGAAAAATTCAAGCGAATTCTAGCGAATTTCCCTGAATTTTCAATGCATTCAAAATTCCGTTGTATTTGATGGAAGAATTTCATGAAAAAATCCATTATTATTTAGCGTATACAATGAAATTTTATTGAATTTTCGATATAAATGAGAAATTGAGTGAACGTTTTTAATGAAATTGTAGATATGAAAAATCAATATTTTATATTCGAGATGAGAAAAGAAATGAAATCTCATAATGACCGAGAGATTTCGAAACGGTTTAATTGTAAATTGAATCTATTGTAGCATTTTGGGTTAGAGAAGAAGAGCGCAGTGGAAGGACTTCCTCCCGAGGCAAACTACGTCCGGACTCAAAACCGTAATCCCGTTGTCTCTACACGTTCAACGAGACCGTAAAATTTGCCCTGGCTATACTCCAGGGGTTACCTTCCAACCCACTATATACAATAATGTAGGAAATCCATCCTCTTCTACCATTCTCTGGCATCCATGTATCTTGCTTGTCTTTGGCTCGTAAAATTATGCCGTTGACGTTAACCGTTGTTGCCGCAGTGAACCGAGATAAACGAGAGGATAATTAGCTACTACCACCATCCTCAGGCCCCTCTGGCTAATACCTCTGTACGCACCATTGGATTTTACAAGGCGAGGAAATGTTTTGTTACTCAGGTGTGGATGATTCTACCTTATTTTTCCAAATTTCTATACTATTTCTATACCCCCTCCCGGTAATTAAGCCATTTCCTCACCTGGAAAATAATGGAAAACCTGCCGACATTTGGCAGACAGCTACCGGAAGTCCTTTTCCATTTTTTGTGGAAAAAAAAATAGAGATTGGTATCGGGTAGTCCGTTTTTATGCCGAAAAGAAATATTACTTTGATGTCGAATAATTTCTTTTTTCACCCTTGAAAAATCCATTATCATAATATTACATATTAAGATGAAATAATTATGTAGCGAAATTTTTCTTTAAGCGGAAAAAAATGAGAGGTTTCGTATCGAATAGTTTTATATACCGAGAAGAAATATTACTTTTACCCACCATTTACACATTATCTGTGATAAAATAAATTTCATTTCGTTTGAAACAAATTAATCACTGTAAATCTTCATATGAAGGAAAATGATTATCTCGATGGATGAAATGTGAGAGTTCTCATGCGAAAAGCATTGTAATGATTTTCTGGAAACCAACATTAAATCTGCTTTCGAATTTCAATAAAAATTTACAGAGATTCCAAATTCATCAGCGATCGGGAATGAACAAAGATTGCCCATGTGACTGGAGGTTTTAACAAAAATCTAAATTTTCAATTTCAAGTCTAATTGTGAAAATAATTAAGAAAAAATTCACGTGAATCTTTTCGGAATAATTACACCAGAATTGATAGTCTTGATTG